ATATCCGATCCGCACGACAGCAATACCCCAATGTCCAAGTTCGATAACATCGCCGCAGTCTTGAGACACAGGGGCAAGACGATGGCGAAGCTGCCCGCGTACTGGGTGCTGGACAGCAAGGGCAAAGAGATTGCCTCCATCACGTGGGACAAACTTGCGTCAAGAGCCGAGAAGGTGGCACAGGTCATTCGGGATAAGAGCTCGCTGTATCGCGGCGATCGCGTTGCCCTGATTTACCGCGACACAGAAGTCATTGACTTTGCCATTGCTTTGCTGGGATGCTTCATCGCTGGCGTCGTCGCAGTACCGATTAATGATTTGCAAGACTACCAGAAGCTGAACCTGATTCTCACATCGACACAGGCGCATTTGGCACTCACGACGGACAATAACCTCAAGGCCTTCCAGCGCGACATAACAACACAGAAGCTTAACTGGCCCAAGGGCGTAGAATGGTGGAAGACGAACGAGTTTGGCAGTTTCCATCCCAAGCGCAAAGACGATGTCCCGCCTTTGACAGTACCAGACTTGGCATATATCGAGTTCTCCCGCGCGCCTACGGGTGACCTGCGAGGCGTGGTGCTGAGTCACAGGACAGTCATGCACCAGATGGCTTGCTTGAGTGCCGTCGTCACGACAGTACCAGGGAACGGTCCCGGCGATACATTCAGTCGAACCTTGCGCGACAAGAACGGCCGGCTCATCGGTGCTGGTGCGACCAGCGAGACGCTCCTTTCATACCTCGATCCTCGACAGGGTATTGGCATGATTCTAGGTGTCCTTCTCACCGTTTATGGCGGCCACACGACTGTTTGGGTTGAAAACAAGGCCGTTGAAGTGCCGGGTCTCTACGCTCATCTAATCACCAAGTACAAGGCTACACTCATGATTGCCGACTACCCCGGCTTGAAGCGTGCCGCATACAACTACCAGTCGGATCCTATGACAACTCGAAATTTCAAAAAGGGCATGGAGCCAAACTTCCAAACGGTCAAACTTTGCCTAATTGATACCCTGACGGTTGATGGTGAATTCCACGAAGTACTAGCGGACAGATGGTTGAGGCCACTAAGAAACCCACGAGCGCGCGAGGTTGTCGCGCCGATGTTGTGTCTGCCTGAGCACGGCGGCATGGTGATCAGTATCCGCGACTGGCTGGGAGGCGAAGAGCGGATGGGCTGCCCCTTGAAGTTGGACATGGGCTCCGATATCGATTCCGACGAAGAAGAGAAGGAAGAGGTGAAGCTTGCGCCCTCAAACGGATTCGGCAGTCTCTTGGGAGGCGGCGGCACCACCACCACAGAGCAGCGCGCTAAGAACGAACTGAGTGAGGTGCTCCTCGACAGAGAGGCGTTGAAAACGAATGAAGTTGTGGTAGTAGCAATCGGGGACGAAGCGCGAAAAAGAGCTGCTACCGAACAGGGCACTGTTCGCATCGGTGCCTTTGGATACCCTATACCCGATGCCACCCTCGCCGTCGTCGATCCGGAAACCGGCTTGTTGGCATCACCACATTCCGTCGGTGAAATCTGGGTGGACTCGCCATCACTGTCAGGAGGCTTCTGGGCTCTACCAAAACACACGGAGCAAATATTCCACGCCCGGCCTTACAAGTTCGATCCCGGCGAGCCAACACCCACGGTAGTAGAGCCCGAGTTTCTGAGGACCGGTCTGCTAGGCACAGTCATCGAAGGCAAGCTCTTCGTACTTGGCCTCTACGAGGATCGCATTCGTCAAAAGGTCGAATGGGTCGAGCACGGCACCGAGGTAGCCGAGTACCGGTACTTCTTTGTCCAGCACCTCGTCGTCAGCATCGTCAAGAATGTGCCCAAGATTTACGACTGCTCTGCCTTTGACGTATTCGTCAACGAGGAGCATCTGCCAATTGTTGTCTTGGAATCACCAGCTGCGTCCACCGCACCTCTGACTTCAGGCGGGCCGCCCAGGCAACTCGATACTGCGCTGCTTGACTCTCTCGCCGAGAGATGTATGGACGTACTCATGCAAGAACACCACTTGAGACTTTACTGCGTCATGATCACGGCACCAAACTCTCTGCCCAGAGTAGTCAAGAACGGGCGTAGGGACATCGGAAATATGCTCTGCAGAAGAGAGTTTGACTTGGGTAACCTGCCCTGTGTTCATGTCAAGTTTGGTGTTGAGCATGCCGTGCTCAACCTCCCCATTGGAGTTGACCCTATCGGAGGCATCTGGTCTCCCATTTCATCGGATTCGCGTGCTGGAATTCTCATGTCATCCGACAAGCAATACTCGGGTATCGACCGAAGGGAAGTTGTCATTGACGATCGCACTTCAACACCGCTGAACAACTTCTCTTGCATCACTGACCTGATCCAATGGCGCGTTGCCCGTCAACCCGAGGAACTCGCATACTGCACCATTGACGGTCGTGGCAGAGAAGGCAAGGGCGTGACTTGGAAGAAGTTCGACACCAAGGTTGCCGCCGTGGCTCTGTACCTGAAGAACAAGGTCAAGGTTCGCCCTGGCGACCACCTGATTCTGATGTACACGCACTCCGAGGAGTTCGTCTACGCCGTTCATGCCTGTATCAACTTGGGCGCGGTTGTAATTCCTCTGGCTCCTCTAGATCAGAACCGACTTAATGAGGATGTGCCGGCATTCTTGCATGTCGTTGCCGACTTCCGTGTCAAGGCCATCCTAGTCAACCACGAAGTTGATCACTTGGTCAAGCTGAAGCTGGTTTCCAACCACGTCAAGCAGGCGGCTTCCATCCTCAAGATTGGTGTGCCGAACTACTACAATACCACCAAGCCGCCAAAGCAAAGCAGTGGCCTGCGCGACAATGGCATTACCATGCAGCCAGCCTGGATCCAGACTGGTTACCCTGTCATCATCTGGACGTACTGGACGCCCGATCAGCGCCGCATTGCGGTTCAGCTTGGACACGATACTATCCTGGGCATGTGCAAGGTCCAGAAGGAGACTTGCCAGATGACAAGTTCCCGCCCCGTGCTGGGATGCGTGCGTAGTACCACTGGTCTCGGTTTCATTCACTCATGCTTGATGGGTATCTATATCGGCACCCCCACATACCTTCTCTCGCCTGTCGAGTTTGCCCAAAACCCAATGTCGCTGTTTGTGACTCTTTCTAGGTACAAGATCAAGGACACCTATGCGACGCCACAAATGTTGGATCACGCCATGGCCACGATGCAGGGCAAGGGATTCACGCTTCACGAGCTCAAGAACATGATGATTTCGGCCGAAAGCAGGCCACGTGTGGACGTGTTTCAAAAGGTACGGCTTCATTTCGCGGCTACTGGCCTCGACCGAACCGCCATCAACACTGTCTACTCTCACGTACTCAACCCCATGGTTGCATCGAGGTCTTACATGTGCATTGAGCCTATTGAGCTCTGGCTGGACACAAAAGCCCTGCGCCGCGGCCTGATATACCCCGTAGATCCCGAGCAGGATCCTAAAGCGCTTCTGCTCCAGGACTCCGGTATGGTGCCTGTTTCTACACAAATCGCCATTGTCAACCCCGAGAGCCGACTGCTCTGCCACGATGGAGAGTACGGAGAGATTTGGGTCGACTCGGAGGCTTGTGTCAAGGCATTCTACGGCTCAAAGGATGTGTTTGACGCCGAGAGATTCGACGGTCGTACCGTTGATGGTGATCCCAGCATCCAATACGTCCGCACGGGCGACTTGGGTTTCTTGCATAACGTCAGCAGGCCTATTGGCCCTGGAGGCGCTCAGGTTGATATGCAGGTCTTGTTCGTTCTCGGCAACATTGGAGAGACGTTTGAGATCAATGGTCTCAGCCACTTCCCCATGGATATCGAGGCCTCTGTGGAACGGTGCCACCGCAACATCGTAACTGGTGGATGGTAAGTTCGATAGCCCCCATTAGTAGAGCCCATCATGCTAAACACACACAGCGCCGTCTTCCAAGCTGGAGGCCTCGTCGTTCTGCTGGCCGAGATCACACGAAAGGCATACCTCGGTTCTGTGGTGCCAGTCATCGTCAACGCGATCCTGAACGAGCACCAGATCATTGTCGATATCGTCGCCTTCGTTAATAAAGGCGACTTCCCAAGATCGCGTCTCGGCGAGAAGCAGCGCGGTAAGATTTTGGCTGGTTGGGTCACACGTAAGATGCGTACCCTCGCACAGTTCGCCATTCGAGACATGGACCCCAACAGCATCGTTGGTGGCGACCCTGGTGCAGATGACCCCAACCCTCACAGGGCCTCTGTTAGTAGCCAGAGGAGCATGACCATGAGCGGCCTGGCGCCTGGCTCTTCGAGCCTGCGCAACGTCGAACACGCACCGCAAATCCTGGAGCAGGAAGAATTCGAGCATCAGGTCGGACAGATGGCAGCTCTCCCCCCGCAAAACCACGATGGTATCGCGGAGATGCCCGGTGACGAAGGTCCTGCGTTTTCACAGCAAGTGAACGCGCCACCGGGCCACGGCTACGTCTTGCCAGACTTTGATTCCTTTGGTCGCGAAGATGGTGGCCCACCGCCTGTGGGTGCCAAGCCAGGCCAGACCCCGCCGACGATCCACCTCCCCGGAGTCGACGGCCGAGAGAGCATGGATTTGTGGAAGCATCAGCAGGGCGGCGGTGGTGGCCAGAGTGAAGAGGACTGGACGGCCCAGGCCCTAATGCATATGAACCTCGCCAACGACCTGGAGAGAAAACAGGGCCAGCAGCATTGAAAGAGGCGGTCTTTCAAACAGAACCAAATCTCTTCTATGCTGATTGTTTTTCCTTCTTTTTGTTAGCATACGGGTCTTGGGAGGCATTAGCTGCGGGCGTCTGTGGGCGTCTCTGAACTCATGGATACACTGGTCTCGCGGCATAGGAGGTAGTGTTTGGATAGAGGATTATCCTGTGCATAATCACTTGAACCTGGAGAAAAGATCATTCTTAATTCATTCTCATCCACTTCACGCAGTTTCGTTTGTGACTTCATAGGATGTCCTGTCGTCCTCAGTGATGTTATTCACTACCTCGGATTCCTCATGCTCTCCTGGATGAAGCTTGATTGAACAACAATTGACCCCCCATTGATATTCTCCTCGGACCCCGACCCAGTGGACAAATTCTTGACCCTGCCAGATCCAGCCGTGATTCGATTTGTTAGTCCAATCTCGTCATCCGACTCCCCGCCCAACTTGCCGTCGCCCCCTCCCCCGCCAAAATTAAACCTTGACCCGCCGTACGTGAACAGGGCACCCGTGCCATTTTGAGAGCTGCTGTTCTTTCCTCCGCTGGCGCTCTGCTTCGATTTCAATCGCCATGGTGCGCTGTTAGATGAGGGCCCTTCACCTCCGGCATTGCCACTGGAGTGGCCCAGGGAAGATGAGATTTTGTGGCGGACGAGGCGGCGGAGGGGCGCGAGGTGCGGGAGGCAGGCGGACACGATTGCGATCGAGGGTTCGATTGCGGACCAGATGAAGACGGGGCCCATTTGCCAGGTTATGTCGAGAGCGCGGGAGAAGGTTGAGAGGTGGGTTATGCGGACTATACTTGCTACGCAGACGCTGGAGGGGGGTTTTGGATTAGTATGGATCGTCTTGTAAGGGCGTCGATTATTTCTGATATTGGGAATATGTGTACTGGTGGTGAGAGGGTGGGGGAGGAGAAGGTGGTCGTGTCTTACAAACTTCCCAGCAACATGATGCTACAAACAGCAGCCTTTTTCCTGCCCGACATTTGCAGCTTTAAGATCTGCGGGATGGGAATCAAGAGGACAATGATATCGTTGACCATGTTGATTATGGCGAGGGCGAGGTAGAAGCTATTGATGTCTATGCATTTCCCCTGTTCGCCCACAAACTGGTTCCAGTAGAACGAGAGGGGGCGACACGCGTTGGCCATGGTGGCCCAGATGATGATGGGGTAGGCTATGGAGAGGACGTACCCTGCGACGAGGGAGAATTTGAAGGACGGGGAGGAGGCGGTGGAGAGGAGGAAGATGCGTTGGTAGAAGAGGAGGATGGAGATTTTGGTGGCGGCGCAGGCTGTGCCGTAGATGAAGGTGTAGGCGTAGAGGATCTGTGGTTTTGGGGAGTTAGTTTGAACGTGAAGTTCCGAGTGCGCTGAGGGTTTGCATTTCTTCCGAGGAGGATATTGATTAGAATAGAATCAAGGAGGGGAAGCCTACTTTAAAGACTTGTGTCAGGTCTTGAGGTGTGAATGACCAGACGTGATTTCCCGCACCGTAAGCTCCGCCTGCGATGCTCAAGCCGACGGTGGCGCCTACGAGGAGCTGTGATGATATATTATTAACATCGTGAGCCTATTCACAAAGTATCTCACATGGGAAAGTACTTGAGTAAGTTCTTACCAGTGAGAGAAGAATTGTCCAATCATCCGCCTTCAGGCTGTGACCTTGGAGAAACCTCGCCATCAGCCGGAGCACCACGGCCACGGAGGCTAGCACGGCTAGTATTATGACGGCGGCATTATTGCGAGCGACGCTGCTTTCTGAAATATCGATATCATCTGGAGGTGGACCGAAGATGGCGATGATGTTGGGATCAGGTTCCATTATCGACGACCAGAGAGATGTGACGGTGGTGTGAAGCAGGAAGGGGGGGGGGGGGACCGATATCACCACATTGCAGGAATGCAAGGAACTTTCATTTCCTTGGGCGACGTCCTCTACTCTGAGATCCTCAGAGTCTGCTTTTCTTCATGGGATCTCAAAAATGGGTCGAAGAATCGTTGCGGCACAGGTTGGTGTGCCAGGAGGTGCAAAAAGGAAATATGATCCACGTTGGAGGAGTTGGACGTGTACCTTCGGATACCCTCCGACCAAGGTAAACCCGTGGTATTCTCAGCTGCTCTGCGTACCTCGTGATCTCCACCGTCATGCTTCCGTGCACCGTTGCATTCACGTTGGATCAACGGCCTAGTTTCGTCTGCATCCAAAGAGCGCAGGGTTCATAATGCTGTTGGTACTGGGCAGACAGGGCCCGAAATTCCGCATGGCCTGATGCTTCCCGTTCTGGCTCGCGAAAGAGCCAACAGTGTGGATCATTTCTGATTTCTTTCGTTCAAGGATTATATGCACAGACGGGGAAGTTGTTGTTGGAGAGCATGTTTGCGTACTCCGCAATTCCCCTGGAGTCTTGACACTTCATCTTCGTTGGTGCGCGTCCCGCGCATGCAGGAACAGGAGTATAAAGAGCGGGCGTTGATGGCAAACTCACTTTTCTGGTGAAGTGCCAAGTTTGCCACCGCTCAGCAAGACTTTGATATGACTGAATGCCCTCGTTGTCAAAAGCCATGTTTGCTTTAAAGCGCAAAACGGTGACTCTAAGATAAGATGGCGCAAGTATCTCTAGAAAGGGAAGACGGGTGAACGTCGCAAGCAAGGAGCCGCTGATCCTGCCGCCTTTTACTAACGGGCCGTCTGACTGCTTTGTCTCGGGGAACCAAGGGTACGAGTCCCGCATACAAGGATTAGAATATCACATGCGACTTCCTCTCCATGGTCCACTTGTATTTGAATGACGGACATATCCAGCATGCTGACCGATGATGGAAGTCTTCGTAGCACGAGAATGCCTATGAACCCGTATATAAGTTAGAGTATCAATTACGTCCGCGTTAGATGTCCTTGAGTCTTCGACTGGATCTCGAGCTTAGGATTATCAAGGTCAAATGAGCCTTTTTTCATGGCTCCTACTACTTGTGGAGTGAAGGAGGCCGATCCTGGTTCTTGTTGGAACCGGGGCCATGAAGGACAGAGCAGGGTCGACAGTCTATCTCACCCCGTTGAGGCAGGGAAGAGAGCACCAGCAGGTTTCTGTCTCTGGTACTAAGCCTCCGAAAGGAGCATCTCAATGCAGGTCCCCTAAAGCCATTGCCTCCGTTGCTGGAGGGTTGCAATATGATATGACCTGATTTGAATGTATGGATGCGGCGTGGTCAACATGCGTTGCATAGTGGTCTGGAGCGTAAGGACAAAGACATAGCGATGGCCTACAAGGGTCATATATAATGAAAATCGCCATTCTCGGATGTTTTGCTGTTTAGCTACTAGAATGCTCTTCTACGCTGCAGGCTTTTGCACCAAGTTCTCGCACATCAACAGCTATGGGTTCCTTGTCAGGCTTCACAGAGATCCCGGATCTCACGCCCCTCGAGCGTATCGGACCCAAAGGCTACCTTCGATATGTCTTCCCTTTCCAGCTCCCCGAAGATTACAACCTCGATCAAGCTGCTTCTATTCTGCGCGCAGGGTATGAAGCCGCGCAACAGCGTATCGCTGTTTTGGGGTGTGAAGCCGTCCCAAACCCAGATGCCAAGCAAGCCGGCGTCTTGAAGCTTCAGAAACTCCGTCATGGAGACATTGAAGGCATCACTGTCAAGGACCTTCGAGCTCCCGGTGCATTCCCCATGACGTACTCGGAGCTCAAATCCAAGAACTTCCCAGTGGCTTCCTTTGATGCAGATACTATCTGCCGGCGCTCGGTATGGGCAACACCAGACGAAAGGCTGCCCGTATCTCTTCCGCAAGCCAACTTCATCCAAGGGGGCCTGATTCTATCCTGGTGCATCTTCCACATGTTTGGAGACGGGAAGACATTCCTGATCTGGACCAAGATCTGGGCAGAAGAGTGTCGCAGAGCCCAAGGCCTCGAGATCATAGACCCTTTCAAGCTGGATGAGGCGTTCCTCAGAGACCGTCAACGCATCATGAGCCCAACCGGCAAGAACCCGGGCCGTGCTGAAGACCACCCAGAGTACACCATCATCCCCTTCACACCCGAGGGCATGCCGCCAAAGATCCTTTCCGAAGATCACCGCGGCCAAATCTTCTACTTCTCGCCCGAGGCCCTGGCCAGACTCAAGGCCGAAGCATCTCCAGAAAATGTAACGGAACCCACGAAGCAGAGATGGGTCTCCACCAACGACGCGCTCTCGGCGCTGCTCTGGCGTACCGTCATGGCGGTGCAGTCACCCCTCGAAACCCTCGAGGGCGACCCGGTGTCAGTCTTCAACATCGCCATCGACGCTCGCCTGCGTACGGACCCGCCGGTGCACCCGGAGACTATGGGCTGCTTCCTCGGCTACGTGGCGGCTTCGGCGCCGATCCGCAAAATGCTCGGCTCGGCGTCCCTGGCTGACTTGGCGATTCTGGTTCGTCAGGCGTTGATTCGTGCCGATAGCCAGTTTGTCGATGATGTAGCTACGCTCATTGACACGGTGGAGGATGTGAACCGTATCATCCCTACGGCTCTCTTGGATGTGCCCGGTAACAACTGCATTCAGACATCATGGGTCAACTTCTCCCTGTATGACGTGCAGTGGGGACCGGTGCTGGGCGACACGATCCAGGCCGTTCGCGCGCCGCATGTTGGTGTGATCAACGGGTTGCAGGTCGTCATGCCTATTTTGCCGGACGGTGGGATGGAGATCCTTGTGGGTGTTGAGAAGAACTGCTTGGACAGGTTGTTGCATGAGCCATTGTGGATGAAGTATGCAGAGACGAGGTAAATGGAAAACAGTAGTATCACTAGTTGGGTGTATAAATGAGTTATGTGACAGACTGCGCCAGTTATTTCTAGCTTGACTAATAGTGTTTTCTGCAGTACGGGTTTTCATATGGTGCGGTGGTCTCCCCAAATTTTTCGATGATCTCACCCAATATGCACTTGTCTCAGATCAAGACTGTACCAGACTCAAGCAAAGTCCGGAAGCTCTTGTCGTCGAATCAAAGACAAGCGAAGTTTCCGTGTGAGAATTACATCAATCAGCTTTTACACGGCTCTTCTTCGTGAAATAGCCTCTCAATTCGAGTATCCGCCGCAACTAGACGATACAGCTTTTAGACCGAAAGTTCGCTCGATCTCCATTCTTTAATATCCCTCGTTTTGACACGAGGACTAGTATTACATCCGGCTCATGCCACATAGATCCTCAACATCCCACCGGCCTCTCTGGTCTCCAAAGAAACTTTTCATTCTGTTAAAATGGATCAGGGACTTTTACCAAACTTAAATCGTAATGAGATTTACTGAAAATGTTTCGAAACGGGAAGAGTAAGGCCTGGGGTAAGTATATGGCCCTTCTGAGCCCTTTTCCTTTCTTTACCGGCATTCAGCTAGAGAAGCTCGCTGAAACTCGTCCGAGTCAGCTCCCTCAACTCCTATTTGTCCACACATTAGAACCAACATGAGTGCGCCGGGTAAAGTATCTGAACCATATTCTGCTGTAGCTGTTTGAATGATAAAATCTTCTGTCGTCAACGAATCGGATGGATTACTAACGTTTGGTGTTCGTCGTCTGAAGTTATACGAAGCATTTCGATTTGAGTGGATGAGAGGACTCAGACAAGACATGGATATGAACTCAGATTTGAGTTCACCGGGGTCCGAGATTGGTGCCGCATAAAGCTGTTGATGGCGATAAACTCAAAACCCCCTGATGGCCCCTCAACGGGCAATACCCATCGGCTCCCGCCCCCCAAAGCAGATATTAGAGATGAGGATGGCCTTTGGTCATGTCGATTGAAGGTCTTCACTGATTGTTGTCTGCATTCTCCGTGTAGCCTCGTTAGAGGATCTTCCAAGTCACTCGTTATTGTCACTCTTTTTAACCATGTTCAGCAAAACCATTGTGGCAGTTATCCTGCTGTTCGGAGGCGTTCAATCCCACCGGCACCATGGATCCCACAGCCACAGCGAAATGCGACGCTCGTTCATCCATAACGCAAGGGCAGATGGAGAAGCAGCGAGAGGAGGATCAGACAACGTTTTCGTGAAAATTTCTCACGACCGACCAATTCTAGTTCCGTCGAGAGCAGATCACCCACAGAAACCTGTCGGAGTCGATAACAACGACAACCCCATCCAAACCAACAAGTTCTACGCCAACTTCTTTGCCAACAACCAAGACAACGCGACATGGACTCACCCTTACTCCGTCTGGTGGTCTAACGATACCGTCAAACAGGGCCACGGCTTGTCTATCTCCCATACGGATCGGCGCAACTTTATCTACGGGCCTGGCGAGCCCGTCCAGTCTTTCGAGGATCCATTCTTTGACCAATCTATTGCGCTTTCGGCGCGGGAGCTGCAGAATGGAACGGTTTTGACTACGGACACATTGACAGCATTCTCCGCCAATGTCAACCTTGCGACAAGAAAAGGCGCCAAACCGATTGTCTCATTTCCCGTAGTTCAGGGCATGGCTTTCGTCACAGGTGTTTACAACGACGCCACCGTTCTCATTCAGTCTCAAAAGCACTTTTCAAACATCACCGACCTTCGTCTGAGTTCCAATGGACTTGGAGACACAGTGTATGGGTGGGATGCGCGGTTAGGCGATGGATCAAGCTGGTTGATTTACATCAACCCAACTTCCATGTCTGAGAGACCAAATCTTCGGATGACTGATAAAGGAACCATTTTGGGACCAAAGCAGTTCACGGGAACTGTCCAAGTCGCCAAGAATCCAGCAGGTAAAGCCGGTATCGACATCTTTAGCAAGGCTGCTGGAGCGTATCCAGTTGGCGCCACGCTGTCGGGCTCTGTCTCCGGCAAGACTGGAACTTACACCTTGGCGTGGGAAAAGAAGGGTATAAAGGAACGGTCACTTCTCATGTTTGCTCTGCCGCATCATGTCAAGTCATTTGACCAAAAGACGGCCAGGGGTCTGACGAACATCACCTTGGCGAGTACGACCAAGGGAATTGCCACGGCTACGCTTGCGGACCAGTTCACCATGGTGGAGCCCGAGCTCCCGACGGATATGGGTTTCGACCCTTGGTCGCCTCGCCTTGGATCAGTGGGATCCGCGGGCTCAGCGGCAATCGTTTCCGAAGACGCCAAAGCCGCAATCATTAATGCAGCAAAGATCGAGCTTGCTCGGGACATTACAACCCTGACCAACTTGACGTCCAAGTATTACGCCGGAATCGCCTTTTCGGTTTACGCCAGGGCGATTTATGCTGTCAACAACATTGCCGGAGATACTTCATTCACAGCCAGCTCACTCACCAAGCTTGAGGCTGCGTTTGATCGGTATGTCAATAACCAGGAGCCGAACCCCCTATTCTACGATGACGTGTGGAAAGGCCTGGTCTCTTCTGGGTCGTACGGCAACAACGACTCTTCGATAGACTTTGGTAACACGTATTACAACGATCACAACTTCCACTACGGCTACTATGTGTATGCTGCTGCAATCATTGCCCACTTCAACCCCTCTTGGTTGACAAAGAATGACGGCCTCAACAAGATTTGGGTCAATAATTTGATTCGTGACTGGTCCAACCCATCTACCGAAGACCCTTTCTTTCCCTTCTCACGAAACTTCGACTGGTTTCATGGCCATAGCTGGGCCAGAGGTGTACTCGAAGCACCGGATGGCAAGGATCAGGAGTCCTCAGCGGAGGATGCTTTCTCGACGTACGCGATCAAGATGTGGGGCAAGGTAATAGGAGACGCCAAAATTGAGGGCCGAGGCAATCTCCAGCTTGCCGTGACGGCACGCAGTCTACAGTCGTACTTCCTCTTGGCGAGCGACAACGATGTGCAACCGCCCAACTTTATCGGAAACCGCGCCACAGGCATTCTCTGGGACAGGAAGATCAACCACACGACGTACTTTGGCGACGAAATTGCCTATATTCAGGGCATACACATGCTGCCAATTGTGCCGAGCAGTGCGTATGTACGAAAGGCATCCTTTGTGAGAGAGGAATGGGATCAGTATTTTGCCGGCAATAAGTCGGGATCTCTCACTAGCGGCGGCTTTGCAGGCCATGTGTACGCCAACCTCGCGATTGCGGACAAGGCTGGTGCGGTTGAAAGTTATGAGTTCATGAGGAAGCAGACTCCTGACAGCCCCTACCTGAGCGGAGTGAGTTTGACGTGGAACCTCGCTTACACGGCGGCGCTGGGAGGCAGTTTGGGATCGAACTCCACGCTGAACTCAACAAGTCGGGCGGTCTGAAGTGAATGACCAACTATTTGTCTTGGGGTGAAAGTTGGAGTGAGCTAGATTTGAGTTTACGAGGCCATTTCTACGTCCTTGTACACAGGAAGGGCTTCGCGGAGTTGAGATGCGATTTGAACTGAGAAAGTTAGTCACATTTTCATGTAACAATGAAGTAGAGAAGATAGCAAGAGCTTGAAACCTACGTGCAATTTTCCATCTTCTTGAAATTCGTCCCGAAAGCATCTGAATCACCTCTCGTAACAGAGTCTTGGTGTCACGATCGTAATGCTTTCCTAGTAGAATTGCTGCTAAGCCGACCTTCTTGTATAGGATGACTGCAGTAAGAGGCATCCTGTCGAGTTTGAGAATGTCCGCAGTCTTCTCCATATGCATCAGATCATGAGCAATAGTAAGGGCCATTTCAAGAGCTGCGATGGACGATTCCTTGACAAATAAAGAAAGTTTTGGACCATTACACGCCAGCCTCTTTTCGTGAAGTTCTATCAGTGCCCTTTTCTCTATTAGCTGTGGCTCCTTGACTTTCTAAAGAATTACTTGCAAGAGATACAAAGTGACCACTGTGTACTGGTGCTCAAGCCGCTTCCAGCTTATGGTCAGGGTTTCTCGGATTTTCCTTTGTATCAGCATGTCGAGCTTCCACGATTCGTGATTAAGTAGTGTCTCAAGCTCGACGGACGGATCTCTGGTGCGCTGCATGACACTCTGCAGCGCATAGAGCGCCTGGATTTCGCTGGCGAAGACCCCGTAGGTCTGAACATCGTCTGCGGAAAATACAAGCGGCTGAAACGGGCCACTGATATCAAGGTCTTGAATCCATGCGTCATCCTCTCTGGGAAGCATCGCGCCGAGTCGAGCATCGCGAACAAGTGGTGCTCGTTCAGAGTTCCCAGTGGAATAAGTGTCAAGCCTATCGAGAAAGAATATAGCCCACCATACACGCATCTTCTCCTCATTGAACACCGTAGCAGGATTCAAAAATTGGTATAGGCCGGTTACATGGCCAAGACTGGCACATATCGCCAACGTGGCATACGCATCAGACACGAAGCCTCGACCCTGCTCGTATATGGCGAGTAGCAGGCCTGACTGGATGGTTTGCAAGTGACCCCTCGAATATTTCTGTAACAGGATGAATGCCAATTTGCAATTGTCATACAGCGACGGTAAGAGAGGTTCATTGTATGGCGCCAAAGCAGAGGGTATCACCGGGGTGATCAGCAAAATGTGTAAGATAAGACTAGCGAGCTCGGCAGATGGCGTGCTCTGTAATGACGCTGCTTGTCTTCTCAAGCCGAGTGGGTGAATGATTGGAATCCATTCGTGGATCGAACTCAAGTATCCATCAACTACCATTTCTATTCCAAGGTCGAGGACTTCTAGCGTGGCGAACAAGTGTGTTGTTAGCAAGTCGTCATGATCTTGGCGTGTTGCTAACTTTGGTCCTAGAAGAGAAGAAGAAATCAGATGTGCTTCCTTGTAGTAAGAGCCGTAGTGACATATGCTATTGTGACTATGTGGTATCAGTGGTTTGAAGGCCTTGTAAGACAGACATGCTTGATACTTACTCTATGCACCGGCTACAAGCCGGTAGTAGCCGATCGCAACCCTTCTTCTTTGTCGAGCACAAATGACAGGCGTTCGAGGATAAATTACTTGTCGACATACTCGCTTTAGTACAGGATCGAGTCATCTCGACAAGCAACAGATTGGAATGAGTTCGAGAGAAGTTTCGGAGGAGCATGTAGAGCACTCCATAGCACGGGTTGTTCCTGGAGAGTCAGCTTGCTGACAAACTATTTCTAGTACTATTCTAAACTAGTCCGCCGCTAGTCCGCCGCTGACCCGCCACTTGCAGGGCTAAGACCGTGCCAACCCGCCGGAGTAGTGTCGGACAAGTGGTGTGCCAGGACCTAGCAATGCTACGATGCTCTTAAGGGGTTACAACATTGATCTCAATACCAATTGACTGTCAGAACCACCTCTCGTGATGAATGCTAGGAGTCGCTGCTATCTGAAAACTGGTCACAATTTTCATGCCGATGGGGTTTCTAAAGACTCTGGGGCCGGTGTCATAAATAGCCCAACTTCTTCTCACTCTTACCGACGTATTTCAGGCTGCACATCAACTTCATTAACTACATTGTCTGATATATTATTGCAATCTTGTAGCAGATCTCCATTCTACTATGATGGCACTTCCACAGAAGATTCGCGGCCCTTCCCTTTTCATCAGCCATGGAGCTGGCCCCCTCCCCCTTATCCACCCAGGCTTGGAGGATTTCCGGCAGCAAGTCGCCAAATTGGGTAGTAGGCTCAATGGAGTCAAAGGAATTATCCTACTTTCAGCGCATTGGGAAACCGATGAGCCCGAGATCACGGCTCTTGCAGACCCTGGTCTCTACTTCGACTACGGAACTGTGGCCGCAGCCCAAGCCCTTGTTCCACCTGAGGCCTACGAGACCAGGTACCCCATCCTTGGAAACACAACATTAGCCGCGGAAATCAACCAACGCCTCCTGGATTGCGGCTTCAGACCGGTTCTCGACTATAAGAGAGGCTTGGATCACGGTGTCTTTGTCCCGCTCAAGATCATGCGGCCCAAGGCAGACATACCTGTTGTCCAGGTATCTGTTCTCACTGGAAAGGACGAGGAGGAGGCCACAGACAAGAACCTGCGTCTAGGTCGCGCCTTGGAGTACTTCAGAGACTTCGGATACGCCATAATGGGGAGCGGCGGGTCGTACCACGACTTCATGACCATGAAAGACGTTCTCCAAGGCTCTGGCAAAATTCCCTCGGGGACTGAGGAGTTTGAAAGCTACCTCGAATCTACGGCGGCAATTTCTGATGCAAACACTCGCGAGGAGGCTCTTAGGCGCTGGCGGGACACCCCGTCAAGCTATGTGGCTCACGTGAAAGCCGAGGCTGAGCATTTTTGGCCGTTTCTTGTTGCAGCTGGCAGTGGCGGGGACGTTTCTGGGCAGCGAATCCTCAAACTTCTTTCCCAGGGCTTACCAATGAGCTTCTACGAGTGGTGAGCAGTGACGATTGGTTAAGGGGAAGGGGGGGGGGGGGGGGGGTGCAGGGGGGGGGGGAAGGGGGGGGGGGGGGGGGGGGGGTTGGCGGGATCGCCGCTCTCGGTGCCCGGGGGGAAGGGGCGGGGTGGTGGGGGGGGGGGGGGGGGGGGGGGGGGGGGGGGGGGGGGGGGGGGGGGGGGGGGTTTCACCGGGTGGCAAACTAGGTCTGGGTGTTGGACGACTATGGCTGTGACGGCTGGATGCTATATGGATTGATACGTAGCCAAATAGTTTGCTTCGACATGGACTACGTACAATAAGAAAGTTATTGGAATATTCCCGCACTATGGAGCTGCTACCCAAAAGGAAGATTGCCCTGCCGGCACGCGGTGGAAAGATTGCAGGGCCGTCTGTGGATGTTAGGGAACCCCAACAGTTGGTCTCGTGGTCCATCCACCGCATGGCTGGCCCAGAGCCTAAACCAGACGTGCATGCTCCTCCCCGGAGCAAACGTATTCACCCCTGATAAGAGCCTGAAAGGCCACAAGCTATAGTGTCGGGCCCACAAAGGCTTTCTCGCGGCACTTCCATGATAGGTGTGCATAATGAAAAGAATGGCCTGGCATGTTAGTAAAGGAGAGCGTCGGCAGGGGGGCTTTGGCAAGAGAGGCCAAGGCACATTACGGCTAACTTGGCATATTCGCATCTTTAGGTTCAATTTAACGTCACTCCATCTAGTGGTATCATTAAACATAAATAACTGTTGCACTAAACGGATGTCTTAGGTGTTGGTGGGTCTCTGTCCATGTGCCATGCGCCGTCGCTTTAAACCGCAAACCCCCAGAACAAAAGAATTAAACAATACCCGCGCAGTCCTTGCCCTCGATTAAGAATCCCATCAACCAATCTCGACAGGCTTTGAACTGATGTAAAAGCCGTTTGACCTAGCCGGCGACTGAGGCGCCTCTACCACCGCTGGTGCTAATCTTGCCGAGTCACGATTGTATGCAGGAGGCTGTGATAACGCCATCTCCTGTAAATTATCAAGAGTCTTCTGATGTCGCTTGAGATATCTGCACCATGTAACGGCGCAGACCACGCAAGTGATACCGATGACGCCAACGCCGACTCCGATACCAGCCTGCGCTCCGACGGGTAGACCACCACCGCCACCACCACCACCAGAAGACTCAGCGCTCTGGCTGGCAGTGGAAGTCGGTGTGCCAGCAGACGCGGTCTGTCCATCGCTGACAGTCGTTTGTTGGATCGAGGTTTCTGCTGAAGATGCAAATGAAAGGGCTTGAGTGCTTGTTGGGAGCTCGGAGGTTGAAATGAAAACTGCAGTTGTGGATGTTAACAACGGTAGGGTTACTTTGGGAATCTCGGGCTCGTCGGTGATGTTGAAGTATGCCGAGGACATTTGTTGGAAGTCGAAGTTTCCCTGATGAGACGAATCGCCTTCGAATAGCCATAGAAAGAAGACATTCGACGAACCCAAGTCAAACTTGTTCGTCGCGACTGTCCATGTAAGCTCTTTGACGGGCCCTGAGCCATCCTCTAAAGTCCCTGTTAGCGAGACCAGCAAGACTCATTCCCTCTATTTGACTTACGGATGGAAAATAAGATGTCTCCGACGCTTGCGGAGTCGCCAACTAGAGATTGCTGCCAAAGTGCTATTGTGTAGTTTTTGAACTTTGTGTTGTAGGAGATTTTCTTTGTTTCTCCGATCCTCCACGTTTCTCTCTTCTGAACGGGGCTGAAGAACTGTGCATAGAGGCAAGGAAATAAGAAAAATGACAAAATGACTGCAAAGAACATCTTGGAAGACTGTTTGTTGTTGCGGAATGGTCAAGTCGAAGTGGCGTTGACTCGACCACGAGCGTGATATCGCTTCCTTAATATCAGACTTAGATCGAAGGCTGGCTGTTGACAGCGAATGCTGCGCCCGACCTGGCGCTGTGGTTCGGAGGCCCACTGGCGTGTTCCAAACCCTTGTCAAGATTCCAACACTTATCTGCTGGACTCTTAACTTCCAACAGCCTGCCTGCTACTCTGTCCCTACTTCACTGTCGAAATCTTGAAGTGATCTGGGTCACTTTCTCAAGGGCCTGCTTCAGGCTGGCTCGGCTGGGTACGGTAGCCCGCCAGTCACTGATTGCTCTCCATTTTTGCCGCCTAGGCTGCATGCATGGACCCCTTGTATGTTTTTCTACGCCGTGAAGTCTTGACCTGCGTTGGTGTAGATCATCAGGAAGACTTGACACATGACTACTTGAAAACCTCCATATCAAGAGACTCTAGGAACGCGGTCTATAGATTACGAAGACCGAAGTCCTAGGAAAAGGCTTTTGCACCCTCAATCAGCAAGACCACGGTGATATTCCGTATTATCCCCTCGACAGTGATGTTTGCTCTCGGCCGAGACAGGGTCTACCCCTGACCCTGCGATGTGGCTTTTTTGGCCAGTCGTGCCAGTCAAGGGCGTCGAGAAAAGGGCCAATCATAGCGTGTGAATTATTGCCGCCCAATTTCTTACCGCCCGCCTTCTTGCCGCCGTCATTGAGGGCTCAGCGCGGACTTGCGGAACAAAACACGAACCAACCGCCTCGTATGACCAAGGTGCTGTGATGCGTGGTGCATTTGAAGTCCCAACCAACGCCAAGCCCTTTCTGAAAAGCAAATCAGCTTCAAGCGTTCTCCGGACTGCTCCCCTTTCTCCCATCCCAATATCTGCTACTTTGGGTCCGGATGTGCGATGAACGCCTGGAACAAAGTTGTCTGCGTGCAGGGCTGAGAGCATAGCCCGTAAAATTGAAGGAAGATCTTCTGCCCTCTCTGAATCTAATCAGTCAGTAAGCAACCAGGTGCATGCTGGTCTTTCCTTTGGGGGTTGGCTGAAAATTGCATTGTGCCCCCTCCCGCCCATCCCGCCGCCTGCCGATGTTTTTAATTAGACAACCCACCATGCAGTCGAATACGGTTTGGCTTGCCAGCTGATTGTCCTCTTTCTTTCATAAGACTTGTCCCCCGTCAGTCTCACTCCGCTTGTTGGCTGTTTTCAAGACTCTCCTTTGCAAATTTCTGGCGTTCTCCTCCTTTCCTAATGCACAAAACGAGTAGGATGGCTTTTCTACCTATCAGGCCAACCTCCAAGAGGGATCTGTGCATCATCGCAGCAGTCTTTGTCACTGTTGTGTTATTCCTGCATAACCCATTTCCAGACCATATCCCACGGCCGGGTGGCACAGCTTCAAAAGTCTCGTCAACTGGTTTGATGAGCGCGATCCAAAACAGCACATTAGGCGTGAGTCCTCTCCCAGCGCTGGTTGGGAGTAACACAATCTCACGATGCTGTGCCTGTAGTTTGAAAAGATTTTCGTCGTCGGCCTTCCAAGCCGGACAGATCGCAGAGATGGCATGATTCTGCAAGCTGCGCTGAGTGAGATTGAAATCAATTTTGTGGATGGTGTGCCTGGCAACACCGTAGTCGACAAGGCGATACCAAAAACGAGCGAGCACGATCGCTTGCATGATGGCGCCATAGGCTGTTGGCGTGGCCACATGACTGCGCTCGAGGAGTGAGTCGAGTCCTTGCTAACCATACAATACTCAGTCCACTGACCTGATTCTTAAGAATCGTCCGTCATAACCTGTCTTCAGCTCTTATTCTCGAAGACGATGTCGACTGGGACATCAGAATCAGAAAGCAGTTGCACGACTTTGCTCTCTCAGCTCAAACCCTGACTCAGCCCCTTCCCGATGGACCTGCAACTTATGCGGACCCAACATACCCGAGGCCGGTCGAGAACTCGCCAGAGGTGGTTCCGGATATTCCTTTTGATTATCTTCCAGCTACTGTGGCACCAAAAACATCACCGTACGGAGACGACTGGGACCTGCTCTGGATCGGCCACTGCGGAATGCACTTCCCATTCCGAGACAACAAGAGTATACCTAAAGCTCGCATCATCCGCTCCAATGACGTAACTGTCGCTCCCAAGAAGAACCTATGGACGTTCAACATCCCATTCACTTTGAAAGAGACGTATCCGGAGCATACGCGGGCATATCACCATGCCCAAGAGGGCGTTTGCACGCTAGGATATGCGATTAGCCAAAGGGGAGCGAGGAAGCTCCTGCATGAGGTGGCTTTGAAGGATGTCAGCGATGCGTACGATATCCTCTTGAGGTTCTTTTGCGAGGGCGCCAAGGGCCGAAAACCACACAACTGCTTGACGACGCAGCCGGCGTTATTCCACCATCACCGACCGGCCGGCCCCAACAGTGCGATGAGCGACATTGGGAACCACGGTGATGGCTTTAGAGAGGTCAGCATGACCGATATGGTGAGATGGAGTGTGCGATTGAATGCTGATGCGCTTCTCGAAGGGAGGACGGATTTTGTTGACCAATACCCTGATGACAAATGAGTTAAGATACCAGAGTCTTTGATGCTAGGTGGCTAGACTACGATTTAGAGTATGCTGTGCCAAGAACATGTATGATTGATTGAGAAAGCAGTTGTCAATGTCTTTTTGCTCCCCAGAATTTTGACGTGAATGTCTTAGGCAGCCTATCTCGGGCTTGTAAGACCATCGGAATGCGGCTCTACTCTTGTAATGATGAGATGGGGTCAATGAAAACGACTCCTGGCAACATGGAGTTCCTTGTACCTTCATGGCCACTAATTTACAACTCTGGGCCTTTGAATATGCTTAAAAATGTCTGCAGGTAATTCCTATTAGCACTAAGTATTACCGCTTGGACACCTCTGCCCCTTAAATACATTCTTCAACTGCCGGGTTTGCTGCAGATATGATTAGAGATTAGAGGATTGTTCTGTACAAGAAGAATAGCTTCCATCCCAGGCTGTGAGACGGTGACGTCGACGGATTGTTCTCCGTCTCTTCAGAGGAAGACAGCGTGGGCATCTAATCGTACATCAAAGTAGGCATAGAGCTGAGAATTGAAGTATCAGCATCACTCCGACGAGCATCAAGCGCCCGGCAGAGAGGGCTGGA